AGAGACTTCTGAGAATATTTAAGGGCTACAGGAAAGAAGTGTGCAAGAGGGGTCTTGGACCATTCCAGAGAAAGAGGAAGCACATTAGAAAGAAAGGTCCCCAAGAAGGGGCTGACAGTGCAGTGAAGTAATTTTAAATGAGTCAGCAATGACCCTGGAGATGCAGATATCTCTTTGATTTGGTAGTTTTCTTTTTCTTTGGAGAAATAGGTCATTAGGTTTAGATACTAGAAGTTCAGTGTCTTCCTTGGGGATACGAGAGAAAGTTAGGACACAGGAATAAAAACAGGTCAGTTAAAAGCTTGATGGCAGGAACTTGAAAGCTTCACTTTCTGCTACCTTTTTCTCTGAGGAGTAGGAGACCCTGTCATTTGCCAAAGGTGATAATGTAGGTTGGGGTTTTGTCTGCTCAGGCCCCTATAGCAATGCAACAGATGGTGGTTTAACATACAGAAATTTATTTTCCCGGTTTTGGAAGTCAGAGATCAGGGTGTCAGCATGGCCAGGGTCTGGTGAGAGATTAATTCCTGGTTTATGATTCCCTTTCCCTGTGTCCCATGTGGGAGATATGAGAGAGGCGGGGAGGGAAGTTTCTTTCATGGCTCTAACCCCATCTCCAGGGCACACCCTCATGGACCTCATCTAAACCTGATATCCTTCCAAGACTCCATCTGGAAGAATCATCCCATGGGCAGTTAGAGCTTCAACATGAATTTTGGGGGTACGCAGTTGGGTCAACTGTAGCTGGTGTATGTTTTCATGTGAGAGCAGTCAGCAGGATGATGACAGAGTGGCTATGGAGTCACACTAGCTGCATTTCAGTCCTGGTTCTTCCCAGTGGACTTGAGCAAGTGACTTAGTTTTTCTGTGTCTCAGTTTTCCAACATGGAAAGAGGAGTGATGGTCCCTGTCTCACAGAGTGTAGGTGGAGATTAAGTGAGTTAAGGCCTGTGGAGTGTTAGAACAATGCATATAACATAGCAAGAACTCAGTAAGTGCTAGCTGTTATAAACTTGTGTTATTTATATGGATATAAATATATAAACTATTATACATTTATATGGCTTATATTTAAATAGTTGTCATGCGTATGAATGATTGCTGAGTACTTAAAAGTTATTTAAGACTACATATTGTGAATTTATAATGGTGTGATTTATGAGAAAGTTTTCAGACAATCTGTAGTTTTTGCAATAGGAAGTCAGAGTCACTGCATTTTCTGCAGCACCCTATCTAGGGTATTGGGAGACAAATGTTTTTTGGGTTTTTTAAAGATTTATTTATTTATTTATACAAGAACTGGGGTACAGGCCAGATCCGCGGAGGGTGAGAGGATTCACCAGAGACAGAGTGGGGAACAGAATAGGCAGACTGACGAAATACACTGCTGAGAGGAGCAGCAGGCGAGGCAGGACCCTTGCTGGCCGGCCGGAATCTAACTGGCGCTGCAGAGGCTGCCAACTATTCCACAGCGCTGCGCCCAATGGCCTACGCCACCAGGGGAGGCTGGGGAGACAAATGTTAATTAACTGTTGCCAAGGTGCATGAAGCAGGTTATACTTGACTCTGCAGTCATCACTACTTGTTGTGACTTCTTGAATCCTGGATCACAACTGCAACTTTTTATAGTTTACAATCAAGTTTCCTAACCTTTATCTTTATGTAAATTTTAATTAATTAAACTAGATGTTTATAAATCAATATGTCAATTGTGTTTCCCAGGATAAACAGTTGGAAATAATGGAAGTATATAAGACAAATGACTATGGAATTTAAATGCTGAAATAGAAAATTATGTTAAATATTAAAAGGATAGCAAGGACACACAGAGAAATAAAATCCATGAAATATAAGACAATAATAGGAAAACGGCAGACACATATATTACCTCATCAATAATTGCATTGCATATAAAGGGATTAAATACTCAAAATAAAAGTCATAGGGAATAAAAAGTATGATTGAGGTATATGCTACCAATATCGAGGCACTTTAGATACTATAGGACTGGGAGACAACAGTGTGGAAAAAGATGAGCTAGTCAAACAATATGAAAAAGAGCAGGAGTGACAATATTAGACAAAATGGACTTTAGGATAAAAAATGTTAGAGACAAAACATGTATTTTATAAGGACAATATGAACTACTCATCAAAAATATATAGCAATTATAAAGACGTGAACATATAAAAAGAGCTTCCAGATATATGAGCAAAAAATGATGGAATAGGGCCTCCCTGGTGGCACAGGTGGTTGAAGCTGTGAAGCTGTCCACAGCCTCTGCAGTGCAGGTTCGATCCCGGCCATCAGGGGAGCAACCCACATGGCAAAGCAGACCTCTCCTGACTCGCCTGCTGCTCCCCTCAGCAGTGTATTTCCATCAATCTGCCTGTTCTGTTCCCCACTCTGTCTCTGGTGAATCCTGTCACCACCACCCTCCACCCCCGCACCTTTGGCCTGTACCCCAGTTCTTGTATGTATAAATAATGCTTTAAAAAATGATGGAATGGAAGATAGAATAGACTTCAGTAAGTCAATAGTAGTAATTGGTAGAAATATAGAGAAGATCATTAAGGTAATGGAAGAGAATAGAGCAGAAAAATATCAATATCTAACAGACCCTGATGAATGCTCCACTCTCTGTCTATTGCCTGCTCACTATCCGTTCTCACATTCTTCTCAAGTGTACATGGAATATTTCCCCCAGAAAACATATGTTAGTCCATAAAACAAGCTCCAAAAAACTTGAAGATGGGCAGCCGATTCAAAATGGCAAATAGACAGGTATTGAACTCACTTCTTCCTATAGAAACAACAAATTTAACGCTAAATATGGAGAAATTTATTCTGAGATAACAGAAAAGTTGCTGAATAGGACCTCTCTCTACATAGAGTGATGAAGGGCCGCATTGACAAGGGTCGAGGAGTCAGAATGGAGTCTCACCTGAATCCCACCCTCAGTAGTAGGACCCCCAATCAAGAAGGATATTGTACAGAGCCTTGTGCCCCACATGAGTTACCCCAGCCCTTAGGGCCTGAACTAGAAGACATGCTCCCTAAAAGTCTGACTTTGGGGAAAAAGAGTGCACTGATAGAACCGTAAGGTTTAAGGAACAGAGATTCCTCTCTGATGCGCTTGAGGACACGCTCATTCACACTAGAAGCAGTAGCTCAGAAAGAGCTCTTAAAGAGCTCAGGCCACAGGTAACAGAGATCCATTTGCTAACCTTAACCAGTTACTGGAAGGGCAGAATTTCTGTGGGATTGAGGAGCAGGTGAGCACCATTTTGAGATCTCCCTTTATCCTGCTTCTCTCTCCCAGGCAGGGGGTCAGGGGACAGACAACCCTCAGACACTATCCCCTACTCTCCTTTACTTGAGTGAAGGCCCTTCCTCCAGGGCTGCAGATTCCTCCCACATCAGGGAACAGACCAGCTCCCTCCCTGGGGCTGTCATAGCCCTGATGTGTCTGGATTCTATACTCCCTTACCTCCCCCACCCCCCAAGTCCATCTCTGGGCTGGAAGTCCCTTGCCATGTACCTCAAATGTGATGTTGGGCAAGTTATTTCATCTTTGGGCTTTCAGGATGCTGCCTCAGAAGATGCATGTAATGCTGAGGTTATATGCTGTTGTGAAGACTTTATAGTGAACTAATAAATAAAAATATATGATGTCGTGGCACTGAGTAGATATTAATTGTATTGTATTAAATGTGTTCTTATAACCCAGTTGTCAAATAGGGTGTCTTGTCTTGTCCTTTGAAATGCAAGTAAATAGCTGTGACCTCCCACCAAGCCCCAGAAGATGTCCCCACAGCTTTTGTGAACTCTCAGGAGGGTGCATGTTCCTGGTCCCCTCTCAGGCCTCTGTCCTGACGCCCCATCTCATGGAGCCCCACATTCCTCTCCCATCTGCCATTCCAGACACACACTTTGTGCTGCTGTAGGTCCAGGGGGGCCTTCCCCTCACCCCGAACACCCCTGGCACCAGGCAGTGTGTGTAGTGAACTCTCACGTGGCTTGCAGATTATATGTGTGAGAGTGTGTGTGTAAGTGTGTGTGTGTACTTACATGTGTGCTGTGTCTCAGCACTGCTGACAGGGATGATGAAATGAGGTTGGGTGTGTGGGCTGTAAAAGTCCCTGCTGTTCTGCCAGCATGTCACCTGCCCCCTCAGAGTCCCTGACCTGCAGCCACACTGTGCGTCCCTCTCTCTATCTCCCCACCCCCCAGATCTCCAACCCCTCAGCAAATGTTTCCCAGGTGAATAGTGTCCTAAGGGCACTCACAGGGGTGTGAGGACACAGTAGGGGACACAGACACTTGCTCCCATCACGGGAGTGAGCAGGGGAGGAGCTGCCAGGTTCTGACTGTGTAAGAAGTTCTGACCTCAGGGCTCCTGGATACCCACTGAGGGAAGGTCCGCTCTGGTGGGTGGGGTTGGGGGAATCAGGCCAATGCGGAATATTTTTTCATCTGGGATACTGCAGGGCAGTTACAGGGCAGACAAGCTTGGCCTCAGGTGACTTGTTTGAGCCACAGGAGAGGGTGTGATGCATGTGGGATTGTCCAGAGTTAGCTGTTGGGAGGCACACACTACCCGTGACATGCTTTTGCAGGCCTCATAGCCCCTCTGGGACTTGGGGTCTCATCCATAAGTGGGTTTGTTGTGCCATCCCTGACCCCCTTGAATGCAGGTGGTGGGGCCAGTCCTGCGGCCCCAGGATGGTGATCCTCTCCTGGGAAACTGAAAGGGACCTGAGTGGGCAGTGACAGAGGCCCTGTGGGGTCAGGGAAAGGTGCTGCTCCCCAGGGGGTGGGAACTGAGAGCTCTCAGTGATGCTGTGGGGTGTCCACTGGACCCTGGGGGGTATGTCTGAGGCAGCTGGGCTCTGGGCAGGAGGGCTGTGCAGGCCCTTGTCCCCGCCCAGCTGTGAGGCAGGAACAGTGTTGGCAGAGGCTCAACGGGAAGTGCTGAGGCAGCCCCTGGGGGGGTTTCTCAGGGCTGCTGAGGAGCCACATAGGTGCAAGCAATAGGTCAGTGACAATTTGCATTGGGGGTGGGGGGAATTGACACCTCCACCAACAGCTTTGTTACTTTGCTCAACAGCTGCTTGATTAGGTCACTGACAGTTGAACTTTATGGAAAATCAAAAAGGAAATTTGACTTATTTAATAGTGTGGGACTGAGGACAGCCAACAGGATCAGAGAAGCCCAGACTTTCTGTTGAGTGTGACTTCTGTGCCTGAGCATGGCAGTGCTACTCACCCAGGAAAGCAGGTAAGAATTTGAAAGGGGTTTAGGGGAAACAGTGGGGGCAGGGGTGTGTACCAAGCTTCACAAGAGGGGGCCTCCCCAATACAGTGCCAAGCCTATCATGCAGGGGTTCATTTACACATTCATCCTGCAGTCATTGATTGAAGTCTTGCTTTAGGTGCTAGGATAATAAGATTTCAATGGCTGATTCTAGAATAGCGAGCTGCTATTCCAGAACTAACATTGTAGTCCCGCCCTTGGAGTGGGGAAGTAACTAGGGAGGCTCATCTTAGTGACGCTTTTCCTCTGATTTTTTTCTCTGCCTCTAGATGTTTCCTCTGCAGCTAAACAGATTGACGGGCAGCCTGGGATGGGGCCCTGCCCAGAAGCCTCCCACCTCTGCCGGGTCGCCTGGGTCCTGGGGCTCACCAGTCTCCTCCTCAGTGAGTGGCTCGATTTCTAGGGGGGAAGGCAGTTGGGGGAAGCAGGGGGGCAGCTGTTTTTTCCCTGTTTGATGTCTTTGGTGATCCAAAGGACAAAGCAACTGTAATGCAGCATATCTGGTTAGATCCCAGGTGACTGGAAAGAACCAGGTAGCATTTGGTTGTGGGCAGGCTGGGTCCTGTGCTGGGACAGCCTAGGCTGTGTCCAGGGAACAGTCATCAGGAGGTGAGACCACTTTGCTGAAATACCAGGGAAGCAGGGAGCCTGGAGCTATATGGGGATGTGGGGAAGGCGAAGAAGGTTGCTCCTGGGTGTGGGGAGCTGGAGAAGGACCAGAGAGTCTCTGCAGTTATGTGGATAAGGGGCCTACCTGGAACCCTGAGTCTGATCCGGAGGGGTCTTGGCATTCTGGGTCTTAGGTGTCTTCACTAAAAGAAAGTTACCATATGCTCCCACCTGGGTGGGGATCAGTTCCAAGCAGATCATCACAAAGAACAGGGTCCTTGAGATCTCAGGTTTAACTTAAAATTGCTTATGAATTCTACATTCTGCTATAGTGTTATATTTCATCATAAAAAGTCAAGAAATTATTTGACTTATGGTAAATGAATCTTCCAGGGGGCTGCCCTTTATCAAAAACACTGCTTTAGGGAAACACTGGAAACAGGGGGGTTCCACTCCCTTTGGGATGATGAGAAAATCATGGAGTATCATGTTTTATGATAACACAGAGGCTAAAAGCAGGGCCCGGTTTCTGGGTGGGATTTTAATTTACATAAGATCACTTCATGGCTTGTACAAGTGCAGGGGATTAAGTACTGTGAAATTCTAATCTTGTAAAAGGTACAGCATTTTCCAAAATTTAAGGCTGTCTATATATCCATGTGTTACAATAGCCTGGAGAAAATGTGGAAAGATATAAATTGCTATCAAGGTGCAGCCAGCATAAACTTGGGGGAAGTAGAGAGGACGGAGGTTTAGCAAAAAGGGAACTGAAATGACTTGGTGAAGGCTGAATTTCATGTTTATGACTTTACCAGAGATGGTGTTTGTATATATAATGAAATTAAATACATAAAAATGAGAAAATAATAAGATCTAGAGAATTATGACTTTTGGTGAATGACTTGAGAGCATTTATTGTTATATGTTTTTGTTTTAATATTCTAATCACTGTGAACTTGCAGGGGATTATATAAAATTTAAGGGGTTAGAAGCATGTGTGAACAAGATGTTTTGATTTAACAATGAGATTTGCAAGCTATCAGAGCCCTTTTAACTAATACCGTTGAATAAGACCAAATGTAGACTTTCTCTTCTTCAATTTTATTTAGCAAGGGAGATACATTGAATTGAACATAATTTTCTCAATAGACTTTGGTATTGGAAGATTATGAAAGGAGATAGAGAGAGAGCCAGAGGGAGTGCAGGGTACAGGAGCAAGCAGGGGTAGAGAGAGGGAGGGAGATGGGGGCAAATGGGAAATAATTTATGGTGATTTTTTTAGCATTATAGTTTTGTTATTAAAATCAACTTTTACTCTGTCTCATCCCCCAACACACACACACCACACCCTCCCTGGCATCTCCTGAGGAGTCCCCTTCTGGAGGACAAAGAGCCCTGCTGCTCCTTCTCTGTCTTCTCCATTTCCTCACAGCTGCTTCTCCCCCTCCAGTTCTGGGGATCCTCCCTGCAGCCTGAGGCTGAGCCCCTCTCTCCCTGGTCCCTGTTACGGGAAGGGGCCATCTGGCGGGGCTGCTGTTTGGCCTCAGCTGTCAGGAGTCTCTGCTCTGCTCACCCCACTGAGCCTTGCTCCCCTTTCCCAGGAGGGGGACCCTGGAGGGTGACTCAGAGTGTGCTCAGCTCCTGGGGGTCAGACACTGTGCTGGAGGAGGAGCTCTGGGGCAGGGGAGGGGGAGCTGAGGGGCAGCGCCTGCAGGGGAGAGGCTGGGCTGAGAGAGGAAGCTGGTCCAGGCTGACCTGCCCTGTGCACCCAGGACAGGCTCACCCCTGGGGTGCCTCCTTCTCTGTGAAAGGTGGGGTTGGGTGGGTTCCCTAGGCCCCCTCCCCCAGCTCTGACATTCTGGGCTTCTGTGCCTCCACCAGACAGGACCCTCCTGCGCTACTTCATGTCTCTGCTCTGACTCTTCATCCTGCCTGCCCTGTCCCTGTGTCCTGATAGGATGGGCACTGGGGGGCCCGTGTGGGACACCCGCCGAGGGCAGACCCCGGCCAGCCCTGTGTCACCTCCTCAGCCCTCCGAGGAGGGAGGAGCCTCCTCTTCAAGCCCCCCTTTGGAGTCCAGCCTGGCCTGTTTTCTTGTCTCAGCTCCTGAGCATCTCTCAGGGAGCAGTGTCCTGAGACCCCTGCTGAGGACATCTCCCCCTCCCCCGCTGGGGACTTGGGCTGCAAAGCACTGGGCGAGCAGCTCCCGCTGTGACAGGCAAATGTCCCAAGACCAGAGCTCTTCAGTTCCTGTCTGTTTAGCAGGATTTTTCTTTATTTCTCTTTGTTCCCCTGGTGCTTGCCAGTGCTTGGGGTAGGGAGTGGAGCTAAGACGCAGAATCACTGGTGACAGTCCCTCAGAAATCTCCACAATTGATGGAAATGCTCTTTGTGAGTTAAGTCCACGTGCACATCTTCCCTCAGCACGTGGCCCAAAGAGCTATTTCTTGGATGAAATAGTTTGTGTTATTTGTTGCATCTAAAACTCGATATCTCAACATTAGATAACACTGACTCTGATTAAGACTTTAGGTTTTAAAGACTACTTTTATTTTGCCCATTTATTGACGAGGGAGCAGTAGGATGCTGAAATCTGTTCCGAGAAGAGTCACACGCACCCGTGGACTACGGGGAACGCTGCTGTGAATTGACCAGGGCGTGTCCTGTGTTTACAGGATTCAGGTGCTGCGGGAACACCATGAAGGCCTGGCGGGGACACGTCGGCAGCTGTGCTTACCTAGGGAGGAGGCGCCCATGGACCTTAGACTTGTATTAATTCCCTAATCTATATAATATGTTTAAGACATATAATAGTTTCATAATTACAGAACATCCCATTAGAGAAAGAGAAAAATGAACACACTAAATACAGTCAATAATATATATTTTTCCATGCCAGTTTGTGGTAACTTACAGCTTTCCCTTCCCACATCTGCACCACTTCCAGCAACACAGCTGTACTCCTATGCCCGGTGATCCGGGGGTGACAGTGTAGTGGACGCCAGCTGTCCCTGTACAGCCATGCATGTTCTTTCCACTTCAGGACTGGTAAACAGGAAGCCCTGGCTGAACTTTGACTCCCTAATGACACCTATGGGGTTGGGGTGTTTGACTCCTGGGGCCCATCCCTGTACCCAGCGGGAGATACCTGAGGGGCCACTGGTGAAGAAAAATGGCTCACACCTGGACCTGAACATTCTGGTTCTGATCCAGGAATCTGGGTCAGATCATCATCGCAGTGAGAGCAGCACCCGTGTCTGCAGTAGTTATGGAACACTGAGCAGTTTTTATTATTTTAAATCTCCGCACTAATTCTATGAGGTCAGCAGTGCTATTATTTCCATTTCACAGGTGGGACAGCTGAAGGCATCAGGTTGAATAATTGCCTGTACTCATAGAGCCTGAAAATGGAGACCTGGACTCGCTGACTCTAACCTCAAGCTTTTAACCTCCTGGTGCACTAGGTCACCTAGTGTGACATCTCAGTAAATTGCCTGAAGATCAAAAATTAAAACACAAACATTGAAAGTATAAATGTTAAGAATAAACAAGAGCAACTAAAGAACATACTTTGAGTGGCACTGACAGACCATGAGGACACTGGGCTCCCTGGGGTGCAGCTAAAAGGTGTGGAGCCCTCACCATGTGTGATAGGACCCTCTCCCTCTCATGGACATGTTGTGTGGGATGAGAACTGACCTTGTTCTGAGACCCAAAGGGACCAATCATACTGTTTGTCTTACGCAGCCCAGCCTCACCCATCCTGACTACTGCGTAGGCCAAAGGATTGGAAGGAGAGCAATCTTCGTTATGGTAGTCTCTGTCGTGTGAGTGGTCACCCTAAAATCTAGTGCCTTAAAGAGCTCCAAGAGCATACACTGTCTGTGGGTCAGTGTATGTCTGGCTTAGGTGAGGAGGAACTTCCGTCTGGCTTAGGCCACTAAACCAGAGGTCAGTGGCCTCAGGATGTGCTGGGAAGGATCTCCTTCTAAGCGCGCTGCTGGGCTTGCCGACAGGATGCAGCTCCTGTGGCTGTTTGACTCGGGGCCCCAGTTCCTCACTGGATGTTGACTGTAGCTCCCCTCAGTTGCTTTTTATGTGCGCATCTGCACAGGGCAGCTGATTACATGGCTGGCCATTCATCAGAGTGAGGAAAGGAGAGAGTGAGGAAGACTGATTCACAGTCTTTTTAATCTAGAATTGCTCAGTGCCCCCCCAACCATACTGTATTCTATTCCTTAGAGGGGGTCACTTGGTACACCCCCACTCCAGGGAAGAGTGACAAAGATTAGAACACAAGCACAGAGACCTTTGTGGACACTTAGACCTTCCTCCTATAGTTATGCACTTGGAATGTACTTAACTGTGGTTAGTGCTTTTGACCATGTTCTTATTTAATTTATACGATCATGATGAGGCAGGTGAGGGAACTGAAGTTTATGGAGCTTGTGCACGTTATACTTCACAAGGTGCCTTCTGATAATCAACAGAGAATATTGCATGGATTTCACTAAAAATATGGGTGGTACAGTGCTCAGTTATCCTTGAAATGAAAATAATCCTCAGGATTCCTGTTCCACTGTCCTAGGCACCTGCAGCACCGGGGCCCAGAGTTCTGAAGTGAAAGACACTGGAGCCAACCCTCCTCTGAAGGGGATCCGAGGAGGTTCTGTCTTGTTTCACCTGAGCAAGGTCCGGGCAGCTGAGCTGGAGCAGACAGAGTGGGGCGTTGGTCCTGAGTCAGACTTCAGAGTCTTCCTGCGAGTCCATCGTGGGAAAGAAGATGCTCCTACCTGGGTCAACCTCCGGGACAAGTATGAGCAGAGAGTCCACGTGCCCAACATGACGTCCCTGAGGATGGAGAACTTGACCCCTGAGGACAGTGGGCGGTACCGGGCTGGAGCTCAGTTAACAGGAGGCAGAGGAAGTACCCACGGTTTCCAGCTCACTGTCTATGGTGTGTGGCCCCCACCCCCACACACGGCTGACCTCCTTCCTGTCCCTAGGAATGACACATGGGCCCCATTTTGCAGGATTCTTTCTGAATCCAGGCTTCAGGCTTTATTTTCTCCTTTGGAATCAGGGTTTGCTCACCAGAAATGGACAGAAGAGCTGAGATTCACACCAGGGAGAAAATCATCTCAGTGCTTTAGGGAGGAAAATGAAATTTGGGAAAACAGATTTTTACAATAAGAGTTATTGATTTTTATAGGATGAAATTTACTTTGAGTGTTAGTTTTCTTTTACTTTTGTAACAAAAGACTATAAATTTAGTTAGTTAAAACATCACATATTTTTTTGTCTTTTCTGGAGGTCACAAGTCAGACCAGAGTCTCAGTGTAAGGGTCAAGGTGTCGGCAGGACTGCCTTCCTCTCTGGAGGCTCCAGGGGAGATTCCATTTTCTTTCCTTCCCCATGTTGTAATGGTTTCTGCCTCTCCTCTTCTCCATCTTCAAGGCAGAAATAGTGGAGTCCTCACACTATATACTCCTGACTTCATGTTCTGGCATTTTCTTCCAATTTTAAGGATCCTTGTCCTTACAATGTAATTACACTGATCTTCAGGTAATTGGGATTAATCTGGATATTTACTTACTCATATTAAAAATGTTTTTATTGAATTGATGTGGATAATAACCTTTTATAGGTTTGAGGTGTTCATCATTATAAACCAACATCTGTATATATTACATCATGTTTACATTATGTTTAAAAGTCTAATTTATTCATCATATAACTGATTTACTCACCTCCTTTTCCCCTTCTTTTATGGTAACCGTTAATATGGTCTTACAGTTTAAAATTTACTTTTGTTTTATTTAGTTCATGCATTTATCTTATTTGTTTATGACCCACATAAAATAATTTGGTGTTTCTCTTTCTCCATCTGACTTAATTCATTAATCATAATACCCTCTAGGTGCATCTGTGTTGTTGCTTATGGCAAGATTTCATCTTTTTATATAGCTGAGTAGTATTCCACCCTGTATATATCACCACATCTTTAGCCAATCATTTGTTGATGGGCCCTTCAGTTGTTTCCAATTCTTGACTATCACTTTTCATAATGGTACCACCTATTTATATTTCAGTCAAATTGCTCCTTCTGTTTCGATTGACTTTGGGTTCAATTTTTCTTCTTTTTCTAGTTTTTTTTTTTTTATGTGTAAACTTATAGTTTTTATTTGTGACTTTTTGTGATTTCTAAGGTAGGTCTGTGTTAGTATAAACTTCCTCTTAGTGCCACCTTTTCTGAATTCTATAGGTCCTGGTAAGTGGTGTCTTCATTTTTCACATGTTTCCAGGTAATTTTTTAATTTCTCCCTTGATTTCCTTGTTTACCCAATAGTTGTTCAATTAACATATTGTTTAGTCTCTGCATATTTTTTGGTTCTCTGTTTCTTGTTTTGGTTGACTTCTAGTATCATACATTGTCATCCAAAAAGATGCTTGATAGGAACTCAGTTTTCATACATTCATTGAGAGTTGTTATTTGTCCCAACATATGATCTATCCTTGGGAATAAGCCAGTGCACTTAAGAAGATGTGTATATTTTGTTAAGTTTGGGTAGAATATTCTGTAAATATCTATTGAGGTCATATCATCTAATTTGTCATTTAAGGCCAGTATTTCCTTGTTAATTGCTTGTCTGGATGGTCTGTCCACTGCTATAAATTGGGTATTAAAGTTCCCTACCATTATTTTGTTACCATTTATGTCTCCTTTAAAGTCTGTTAATATCTGCTTTATGTATTTTATTGGATACCTATACACACACATATTCACACATACATATGTATATATATAACATATGTATAAAAATTAGTGTTGTATCTTCTGTTTCCATTGATTTATCATTATATAAATCCTTTTTTTGTCTCATGTTACCATTTCTGACTAGAAGTCTATTTTATCTGAAATAAGCATAGTGCTTATCTAAAAATTTAAAAATTTTCCTTTGCCTTAGAATACCATTTCTAACACCTTCACATTTAGTCTGTGTTTGCCTCTACATTAAGTGAGTCTTTTTAGGCAGTGTGTAACTCAGTTTTGCTTTTTAATTCATAAAACCACTCTGTGTCTTTTAATTGTTGAGTTCAGCCTATTTATGGTAAGGGTGATTATTGATATAGGATGGCATGCTACTACCGTTTCATTAATTTTTTTTTGATTGTGGCTATTTATCACCTTAATTTTTTTGGTAGTTTGTGTTTTTCATTTTATGAAAAGAGCTCCTTTCAACGTTTCTTGTAAGGAGGTCTCATGGGAATGAATTGCTTCAACTTTTTTTTGCCTCAAAAGCCATTATTTCTCTTTTATATTTGAAAGGGAGTTTCACAGGATCCAGTTTTCTTCTGGTGGTTGTTATCTTTGAGTATTTTGAAAATGTTATTTCACTCTCTCCTTGTATATAGCATTTCTGATGAGAAATCTGACGATAGATGGATGGAAGTACCTTCATATGTTGCTTGTTTTTTGTCTTTAGCTGTCTGTAATATTCTTTCTTTTTCTTATACTTTTGATAGTCTCACTCCTATGTGTTTAGGTGTAGGTCTCTTTACATATAGATAACCGTGTGTTCTGTGAACTTTTTGGCCTTGTCTATTCAGTTCCTTCTCATTATCATTTCTTTGAATGAGCTCTCTGATACATTCTCCCTCTCTTGAACTTCTGGGATACCCATTGTCTTATGTTGCTTTCCTAATGTAGTCAGACAGCTCTCATAGAATTTCTTCACTTAAAAATTATCTCATTTCTTTGTCCACTTTCTTTTTTTTTTTTTAATTCTTTTTTTTTTAAAAGATTTATTTATTTATGCAAGAACCGGGGTGCAGGCCAGATGGGTGAGGGTAAGAGGATTCACCAGAGCCAGAGTGGGGAACAGAACAGGCAGACTGATGAAGTACACTGCTGAGGGGAGCAGCGGGCATGGCAGGAGAGGTCTGCATGCCATGTGGGACCCTTGCCTGTGGCCGGGGATCAAACCAGCGCTGCAGAGGCTGCGGGCAGCTTCGCAGCCCAGAGCTCAACCGCTGAGCCACCAGGGAGGCCCTCTCTGTCCTCTTTCACCTGAATAATTTCTAATTTGCTAAAGTGAACTTGCTCCTTTCTTGGGAGCAAGTTTGTTCCTCCATTAGGTCTAGTCTACTACCATTGCTTTCCATAGCACTCTTGGTATTATTTATTAAATTCTTCACATTCTAAATGTCTGTTAGTTTCTTATTTATAGCTTCAATATCTGCCTGCTGCTTGTTGTTTATTCCTGTGCTCATGAAATTGTTTTTAGTATATCTTTGAGTTTCTTCATATAGTTGTTTGAATTTTCTTTGTGTTAGGCCATAATTTCCATGTCTTTAAATTTGGTGTCTGTCCTTGTGATGTCATATCGCTCCTTCCATTTTCTTTAATGTAAATTCTAAATCATCAACTTAGAACTGAGCTGCTTTTCTTTTTCTTTTCCTGCAGGTGGTGTTTTGGTTTTACTGTCAGTGTGATTTTTACTTCTGGCTGCTGAATATACCAAAGTCAAGTGAGGATGGTGGGTGGGCTGTGGCTTATCAACAAACTGGGAGAGGATATTAGAGGGGCTACCCACTGCTGCGGATGTGGTGAGTGGGGGTCCAGTTTGCTTGTGTAGCCCCCAATACTATTATCTCCTCGCTTGGTTTTCTATTAGCTCTTGGTACACTTTACAGCAGCATTACAGATCTTGAGGATGGAGGACAGTGAATGTAGAGACCTTTCTCTGTTCACTTGCTTGCCTGGCCATCTCTATTATCTCCTCGTCAGGGCCTTTGGGTGGGCTGGCAGCCCTGCTACCTCTGTCCCCAGCCGGACCATTGCCCCCACACATTCCTCTCCACCACCTTCAATCACACAGATCCTCGAGACTCTCCAGTGTCTTTTCATGCAGCCTGCGTTGCCCTGTGGAGTGCAGGGGTGCTCAGCCTCACAGTCATACTGTAGGAGTCTTTTGGTGGTGTCCTGTTCCTGAGTATTGGTTAGTTGTTTCTCTCTTATTGTTGAGCAAAACAAAATATACTGTGTTGCTATTTTGGTAACAGTCATTCTTTGCCACCATCTATTTTAGGATGTACCATTTAGCAACCTTGTTTTAAATGCTCACTTGATTTTCTTGCCTTATGGCCTCAGATTTCCACTCCGGAAATTGTTCTCTCTAGCAAATTTTGGAAATACACATGCAGTTCATGATCTCTGGCCTCTCTCCTCTCATTTAGCTGGACAGCTGTAATCATAGAATCCCCAAATCCAGCTCTAAAAACCTCTATAGATGCTGGAAAATTAGTTTTGATACGTTCGAAGAATTTTATTTAGCCAACACTTTCTTCCCTTAACATTCCTCTCTGTACAGAGAACACCTTGCTACAGAGAGAACCACATTATCAATGACCACATTATCAATCTGTTACTTCCATTCCTGTGCGCACCTCATGTTCAGTGGTGCTTTCTAACCGCAATCAGAGTTGTCGTTTCTCGGTGCTACCACTGCATCCTCCATACATATCTATTATTTGGGATTCATGGGGCCTTTAAGTCACCCAGAGCTACCAAATGTCCTTTGAACAGGAAAATCAAGAGTGCCAGAGGAGAACATATCTTTCTGGCTCTAGGTAGGGCTCTAAGCTTTATTTTCTTATGGAGCTTTCTTTTCTTTTCTTAAATATTTATTTATTTATTTATTTATTTATACATACATACATACATACATAAAAGAACCCGGGTACAGGCCAGATGCACAGGAGAGTGAGAGGATTCACCAGAGACAGAGCAGGGAACAGAACAGGCAGACTGACCAAAGACACTGCTGAGGGGAGCAGCGGGTGTGACAGGAGAGGTCTGCGGCACCATGTAGGACCCTCGCCGGCCGGCCGGGATCGAACCGGCACTGCAGAAGCTGTGGACAGCTTCACAGTGTGGTGCTCAACCGTCTGCACCACCAGGGGAGGCCCAGAGCTTTATTTTCTTAAAGTCTTCTTATGAAGACTTTTATGTTTGCTCCATCTGGTAAAATGACATAGGCTTACCTTACTTAATCCCTTACTTATGGTCACTTGCTATATATTTAGCTTTAGGTAAATTATATTTAATCTAAAAAAATGCTCTCACATTCTATAGAGGAAGGATGCCAAGGGTTGAATGAGATGATGGATGAGAATATAAACTGCAATGTTCCCCACTCACTGAGCTCTGTTCCTTTGTCCCCTCCTTCCCCAGAGCCTGTGCCCCTTCCCCAGATCATGACTGAGTCACTGTCCCTCACACCAGACTGGTGTAATGTCACCCTGGAGTGCAGGACCACGGGGGACAGAGAGAGCCTGAGTGTGACCTGGGAGAGCCAGGGCCTCCTCGGGGGTCTAGAGAGAAGGACCCCACCAGGACCAGCCCCCAGCTCCTGGACCCTGGCTGTGAGCCTGACCCTGAGCCAGCCCAATGCCAGCCTCACCTGTGTGGTCAGCAACCCGGTGGACCAGAAGAATGCCACCAAAGACCTCGGAGAGGTGTGCGTCCCTGGTGAGTGTGACCTGCCCTGGGGGATGGTGCTCTTGGGGTCTAGGGAGCAGTGGGATGTGTGGGTTCTTGGGTTTTAATCCAGTCCTCTCTGTTTGCAGCACCTCCCCCTGGTCACCACTTACAGGAGCCTGTGGACACATCCAACTTGCTTCAGTTTTTAAATACTCTTCACACCCATGTTCTTCTCCTTACCCCTTGGTTTAGAGCAAAACTTTCCAGTACCTTTTCCTCCCCATTCTTATCCTTTATGACCATCGTACCCCTTTAGAAATGATACTGGACTGTGTCATTGGTCTAAGTCATCTGTGGGTGTCCTTCGTCTAGTCACCTGTAGGACTCGGGGCTCAGATCCTACTCTGACCTTTTCTCTGGCCCTGCTTACATGCATCACAACAAACTGCTTTGAGTTCTGTTATTGTGAACTCTGGCCTCTCATACTGTTGTTCTCCCACCCTTGTCTTTTATTTTCTGACTAACTTCTACTGAAGGGCCCCTCAGGGATGCCTGCTCATTGGAATATGATCTCTGCTACCATGCAGACCTCATTGTATTAAAATTTCCAAGGAGTTTGAGAAGGGCCCTTCATTCCCATCTTGTACAGGGGCCTCAGGTTCTGTACAGTCTGCCTCAGACATCACTGACTTTAAGGAGCTGACACCGTCACTGCCTGTGTAGGAAAAATGTTAATGGACTTGTAGCAAGGAACACCTTAAGTGCAGGGCCACATCGTGTTCTTTGAATTCCTGTGAAATCCACATGCAATTCATGGTCTGTGACTCTTTCCTTTTACTTAGCTGGACAGCTGCAATCACAGAATCCCCGAATCCAGCTCTTGCAGTGAGTTCACAGTCAGTGTCTCATGAGTGAATGACTGACCTGGAGCCCCACGTGCAGCCTCCCCATCACCCGTCCTCATGAGCTGTGGGGGGACCTGCTGTGTCTGTGTCATGCCAAATCCCATTTTACTCCTATCCCCTTTCTCATCCAGGAGCCTCAAATAAAGTTGACGCTCAGCAGGATCCACAGATCCTCTGAAAAGAACCCCTTGTCTCCACTGATCCTCATGGCCTGCTCCTTACTGCCCTGCCCCTCACCTTGCTGAAGTGGGGTGTCACCTCTCTGTGGATGGCAATTTGACACATTCATTCCCTGAATATGGTGTTTCCCTTTCCCTGAATGCTGCTTCTACCCTGAGTGTTTCGGAAACTTCTATTTCTCCCCTAAGATTCATTTTACCTATCGCCTCCTCTGGGAGGCCATCTCTGAAGACCTCTGTTCAAGACACAAACCTCTCTGCACTGTATCCCTATGCCTGGTAGGCTGTATTTTCTCAGAATTTTCCCTGGTGATGAACTTGAGTATGTATCATGTTACTCTCATCCCAGCATCCTGGGACCAGGCAGAAGATGGGCAAATGCTTGAATGAATGAAGCTGCCACGCTCCTCCCACTTCAGCTTCTGACATAAGAGCTGCAGAGTTCCCCACCTGTTGTCTGTATCTGTCCTTGGCAAAGGGAATTCCAAGTTCTCTCTTCCTGATTCATCTTTACTCTCTGCCTTTCTCAAGGACAAGTACCTACTAACCCTACTAGTCACCAGCAACACATCATTGTGCCCCTTGTGGTTGTGCTGTGTATACTGGGTGCTGGCCTGTTCTTCTGGAAGACACGTGGGAAGAAGAAGGAGAAGATGGCGATGGGAAGAGGCAAGTGATTCTCCTCCTTCAGGATAGGTCCAGGGTCCCCTGCTGGACCCTCTGCTCTCTTTCTCCTGCAATTTGTTGCTCAGGGAATGTCCTTGGGATGTGGTAGTTGTCTGTCCATGGCCTTCGGGATCACAGCAGCGGTGAGGATACAGGTTTACAAGGCCCAGTTCAAGCTCCTATTTGTGCCTGACTCAGGTGCAGAACCACAGAAGGTGCATGAGGATCACGATGAAGATGTCCAGTATGTGGAGCTGAATCAGCAGGAGTCTCGGGAGAGCCACTACAAGGTGAGAAGTGGGCTGTGTCCAGCCTGGGCTCTTCCAGTTCCCCTGCCTGAGTCTGGGCTCGCAAAACCCTGTCATCTATTGTTTCTGGTCCTGAAGCCTCTTTAACTCTTTTTGAAGAGACAAAAGTATTAACTATGAACATTTTCACAGTGCAACGCTGATGGCCTGCATTGCAGTGTGTGTCACAGTAATCCTTGTCAGTCCCTCTGGTTCTCTCTGTCCCTCAGCTGCTCCATGAACCCTCTGTCTTGCATTCCCAGGGTATTGGTGAGCACCGTCTGGAAGAAAAGGAGTCTCTTACTACTGTCTACAGTGAGGTCCACACCCCAGGCCAGGCCATGAAGATAATTTAATTGGACAGAGCTGGAGAATGAGCAAACCTGTGAACCTCTCCTGAGCCTGAGCCTTGCAGACAGCTGCCTCTTCCTGCCCTGATCCATCTTGAACTTACCCTGGTCTGTGCTGCACTGACCCTACTGCATGGGCCCTGGGCACTTGTGGGCTGTTACTTCCCCTGATCGTCCCCAAGCTGCCCTCGCACTCAGGATCCTCACCCCAGTAAGTGGGCACTCTTCCTCTGTCATTGACTCAGCTTCTGACCCCTCTTCTCCTGGAGCTTCCCAAAGAGGCCCCTCCTGACTACACATCATGACCTCCACTGCCTCTGTTGTATTACTGGTGTATGTCTTTCTGAGAACACGAGCCCAAGAGTGGGGACTGTGTAGAGGTATTGACCACGCACAGGAGGGAGTTAGGACCTGGGTTTTGCATGCCAATTTGGGGGTCAGTTTGTGTGGTCAGAGTTGTTAGTCTTCTATTTCACTGTGTATAGGGCTCACTTGGGGGGTGTGGGCAGTGTGTGTGTGTGTGTTTGTGTGTGGTTGTGTGTTTGTGTGTGGTTGTGTGTGTTGGAGGAGTGTCTATGACACATCACACACCTGTTCCAGAGCCCTCTGGATTCCTGGCCACCTGTGCTAATCTGGACCTTGGTCTCAGCCTTTGTCCATGGGCCCCAACTTCATCCACAGTCAGAAGAGATCTTTGTATTATTTCCATTTCAGTCTGTTGAACCTTCTGTTTTACAGAGAATGGAGTTTAGAAGGATTAAATTGTCTATTTATGAAAACAGCCCAGATCTTCTCCATCTGCATAGGGTCATGTGCTGGTTAGATGGGATGTGCAGGGTCCTCCTGCCCCCCCTTGGTGGGGACCTCTGGGATTTGAGGGGGGAGCTGTGAGAAGGTCTGACCTGGCCTAACCAGCCTCTTCTACTGACCTCAGCCCCCTCCATCCTTGCTGCTCCCACGTCCTAGGTCAGTTCCCTTTTCTCACTCATATTCTTCTGCCTGGAATAACAGTCCCCTTTCCATAGACCTCCATATACCTCTCCATGGACCTCTCCATGGACCTCTCTCCTATACCTACCTGTTCAAACCCTACCATCCTGCCCAAATCCTTCTTCCAAACCATTTGTTATATGGAGCAGGTCTGGATCCAAGGCTTTAGAAATGGTCTTTTCCATTCCTTACATTTTCACACCCTGAACATAACTATGGACCTTGCCATAGTCTTTCCTGGATTGGCCATGAAACTGCCCTGCTGATTAACCTGGGCCTCCCGCAGGAGGTGCTGGGCTGTGGAAGCCAGGGTCATGGAGACAAGAACCTTTTTCTGTGAAGGGTCTGGGCACCCTTCCTGGCACTCATGGGGCCCCAGAAAAGGGGATCGGAGCACAAAGGCTGCTGAAAGATTTGGTGGTGGGTCCATGTGTAAGCAGGATAGACTCCATGATAATGAGGATGACAGTGCCTGGCCCGAGGGTTTGAGGTGGGGTTTCCCACATCATCTCCTCCCACATATTGCCTGAGGACCCATGAAACCTGCCCCTTGGGATGTGGGAGCTTTTCCTCTCCCTGGGTATCTCTCCCTCCTGAAACCCTGCCTTCTGCTTTGGGTCATAGCTCTTGCTTCAAAGATGGTAGCTTGATTGCTCACTTAGATTCCTGGGTGTCTTGGTTAAACCCCCACCTCCCTCTATCCCCCTGCCACCACAGCTCAGTTCAGCTCATCTATGTCCTCAGAAAGCAAAGCTCTGAGCTAAGGGCTTGAGCATTATGAAGCGATACAAGTGGCCTGTGGATAGCGCTAGGGTAAGAAAGGATAAGGGGGATCCATAATAAAACTGTTTCTGACCTCCTTCCCCTTAGGCTGAGCAGAAAGTTGAGAGAGCAAAGGAGGACGTCCGCCCTGTCATCCCATGTGGCTGGTCATGGCTGGGCATCAATGCCCATCAGTCCCTGAGTGGTGTAAGATGTGACCACCCATAGCAAAACACAAACAAGCAAATAAAACAGCAATAATAACAAGCAAATAAGAAAGGAACTCAGCTTTCTGAGCCTATAACAGACCAGGTTTTACCTCAGGCATTTTATAAATATTGTTTCTTACGACTCTTACAAGAATTCTCTAGGGTAGATATTACCCCCATTTTGTAGGACAAGCAACCAAGGTCCCAAACTAACCATTGAATGCAGCACTGTGTGATTCTAGTGATCACATTGTACCATTCACCACATGGTCACTGAGGACTCTGGGACCCTGAGGCATCATGGGAATATTCTCCACATGACCCTCTCCTGGCGAGCCTGGTCTCTGGGCACCAGCTTAGGATTAGTTCATGCTGATGATGGATGGAGCAGCCAGTGGTTTAAAGAGGCCTTTCCCCACAGGACAATGGGGTCTGGTGGGGGGTGATGTGCAGGGAGGGGCCCTGTGCTCTGGTGCAGATGAGACTGTCAGGGGCAGCTGCTTGCCCCCTGGAGCCCGTGGGCTCCTGCTCTCCTTGCAATGGCAGCACCCCAGCTGCAGGCCAGCTCCTTTTGCTCTAGTCATAACTCATTTCATCATCAATGATTCTGTGGGCCAGGAATTGTCATTGTACAGATGGATAAATAAATAAACTTCACAGATTTTAAGTACTCCCACAATTTCTCCCAAGTGCAAGCGATGCAAGCATGATTTGTGTCCACAGAGGATCATGATTTCATTCATTTTGACTCCTTCATCTCCCCTTGTCCAGACACCTACCTGATCACTATTCCACTGGGCTTCCCCTCATAATTGTTCTTGTGTTCCTCCCTCCTCTCATTCCCATCTCCCACCTGCACTGCTTTTACATTCCCACCGGTGGTGTATGTAGATTTCCTGACAACCTCTCTGACTTGTCTTATGTTTTGATTGCAGCCATCCTAATGTGGGTGAAGATGCATCTCATTGTGGCAGTGAATTACATTTCCCAATACATTAATTATTTTGAACATATTTTCATTTGTGTAGTGATCATTTGTATACTTTATTTAGAAACATCTATTTCTCTCTCTGGTCTCTTTCACTGTCCATCGACTCTTGCTTCCATTGAATCTATCCAGATCACCAGGTAACTCCATGCTGTTCCATCCAATGGACATTCTCACACTCATCTTCTTTGAACCTCAGCACCAATTGACCTATCTTTCCTGAAATGCTGTTTTCACCTTGCACTCACTATTCGTCCCCTTCTACTCACTGGCAGATTCCTAGTTACCTTCACTGGTTCCTTTCTCATTTTTCCAACCTCTAACTTATGGGATATCCAGGGCTTAGACCCAGGCCAACCAGATCACCTTCCTGCACTACCCACACTCAATCTCTGTCTGGTATTCGGATGTGCACTAATCCCTGGAAACTATGTGACCTTGTGGGGCAAAAGGGACTTACAGGAGTGATCCCTTCACTTGACTCCACATTGTGACTATCCTCCTGTTTACCTGACATCTCCACTTGCACGTATGGAGGCATCTCCAGCTTAACACTAAAATTCAAACTCCCTAAGCCTGCTTTCTCATCCCCAAATGTCACCTCAAGACTTCCACTTGTCCAGACACAAAGCCTTATTGTTATCCTTGACTTTATTCTTTTTCTCATATCCCATACTCTATCAGCAAATACTATATTTCTTTCTCTCTCTCATTCTCCACACATAGATTTTTAAATATATATGTGTATATATATTTATATATACAATACTTCTATGCCATGTGTATACATATATACACAGTATTTATAGTAAAATATCTCTCACCCCCTCTCAGATCCAATGTGACTATCATTTATGACCTGCATTATTACAGTAACATCATCACCTCCCCTCTTAATCACTTAAAGACAAGTTTTAAAAGTGACATTTTCATTGAGGCAGTAATCAAAGCACTCCCCAAAAACAAAAGCCCAGGCCCAGATGGCTTCACAAATGAATTCTACCAAACGTTCAGCAATGTATTAGTGCCTATCTTACATAAACTCTTTCAAAAAAATTGAAAAAGAAGGAATATGGGCCTCCCCGGTGGCGCAGCGGTTGAGCGCTGGGTTGCGAAGCTGCCCGCGGCCTCTGCGGCACCGGTTCGATCCCCGGCTGCTCCCCGGCCACCGGAGGAGGGTCCCACATGGCGTGCAGACCTCTCCTGCCACCCGCTGCTCCCCTCAGCAGTGTACTTCGGTCCTTCTGCCTGCTCTGCTCCCCGCTCTGGCTCTGGTGAATTCTCTCACCCTCCCGCGCTTCTGACTGTACCCAGTGCATGTATAAACAAAACAAACAAACAAACCAGCAAACAAATAAATAAAGCATGCCTCTATAAAAAAAAAAAAAAAAAAAAAAAAAGAAAAAGAAGGAATACTACCAAACGTTCTACGAAGCCATTACTCTAATACTAAAACCAAACAAAGACAGCACAAAAAAAGAAAATTATAGGCCAATCTCGCTAATGAACACTGATGCAAAAATCCTCAACAAAATCCTTGCCAACAGAATGCAACAATGCATCAAAGGGATAGTACACCCTGATTAAGTGGGATTCATCCCAGGAGCACAAGGATGGTTCAACATATGAAAATCGATAAGTGTAATCCAACACATCAACCAAAAGAAAAATAAAAACCATATGATCATATCAATAGATGCTGAGAAAGCATTCAACAAAGTCCAACATCCATTTATGATGAAGGCCCTTGAAATTTCTCGGGATAGAAGGAACATCACGTAACATGATAAAAGCCAAATATGACAAACCTACTGCCAATATTATTCTCAATGGCGAAAAGCTGGAGGCCTTTCCTTTAAGATCAGGAACAAGACAAGGATGTCCTCTCTCACCACTGCTCTTAATATATTACTGGAGGTCCTAGCCAGGGCAATAACACAAGAGAAAGACATACAAGGAATCCAGACAGGGACAGAAGAAGTAAAACCATCACTATTTGCAGATGATATGATAATATACATAGAGAACCCTAAAAACTCCACAAAAAATACTCAAAATAATCATCCAGTTCAGTAAAGTAGCAGGATACAAAATCAACACAGAAAAATCAGTAGCCTTCCTATACACAAACAATAAATTGGAAGAAGAAGATCAAGAAAACCATCCCTTTTATAATTGAAACCAAAAAAATCAAATATTTGGGAATAATATAATAATAATAATACAATAATAATAATAATAAAACCTCTTTCACAAAAGAGGTGAAAGACCTATACAAAGGAAATTATAAAACACTGTTAAAAGAAATTGAAGACACAAGGAAATGGAAAGACATCCCCTACTCATGGATTGGAAGAATCAACATTATTAAAATGGCCATCAACCCAAAAGCAATATACAGATTCAATGCTGTTCCAATAAAAATCCCAATGACATTCTTCAAAGACATAGAACAAATACTGATGAAATTCATATGGAACCACAAAAAACCCACAAATAGCCAAAGCCCTACTAATGAAAACAAAGGAAAAAGGAGGTATCACACTTCCAAACTTCAAGCTACACTACAAAGCCATAATAATTAAAACAGTTTGGTATTGGAAACAAAGAGACACACAGACCAATAAAACCAAATAGAGAGCCCAGAAATAAAGCCACACTTATATGAACAACTAATCTTTGACAAAGGAGCAAAGAATATGCAATGGGACACAGACTGTTTGTTCAATAAATGGTGCTGGGAAAACTGGACCTCCACATGCAAGAAAATGAAACTAGACCACTACTTCTCACCGTGCACAAAAATCAACTCAAAATGGATAAAAGAACTGGACATAAGACCTGAAATCATAAAATATATAGAAGAAAATGTAGGTAAAACACTATAAGACATACATCTCAAAAATATCTTTAAAGTCTCATCACCCAAAGCAGTGATAGTGAAGGCAAAGATAAACACCTGGGATTACATCAAACTGAAAAGCTTCTGTACAGCCCAAGAGGCCTTAACCGAAACAGAGAGACACCCCACTGATTGGGAAAAATCTTTGCACTCCAGTCAACTGATAAGGGACTGATCACAAAGATATACAAAGAACACTTTTGGCTCAACAAAAACAAAATAAATAATCCAGTTAAGAAATGGGCAGAAGAACTCAAAAGACATTTCTCTAAAGAGGAAATGCAAATGGACAACAGGCATATGAAAAAATGTTCAACATCCCTTATAATCAGGGAAATGCAAATCAAAACCACACTGAGATACCACCTTCCACCAGTAAGAATGGCACATATCAACAAAACAAGCAACAACAAATGTTGGCGAGGATGTGGTGAAAAAGGAACTCTCCCACATTGCTGGTGGGAGTGCAAACTGGTCCAACCACTATGGAAAGCTGTCTGGAGTTTCCTCAGTCTGCTAAAAATGGAGCTATCATACGATCTAGCAATTCCACTACTAGGGGTCTACCCAAAGAACACAAAAACATTGATTCAAAAGAGCACCTGTACCCTTTGTTTATTGCAGCACTATAAAAATAGGTAAAACCTGGAAACAACCCAAATGCCCCAAAATAGATGACTGGATCAAGAAGATGTGTATATATACACAATGGAATATTATTCAGCAATCAAAAAAGATAAACTCATACCATCCAATTCTTATTAACCCTCTTTCTGAATGACATACTTTTCTTTGCTCATGTTTATGTGTGAGTCTAAGTTTTGTTCTGGTTGAAATTGGAATCTCTGTCTCTCTCATGTGATTCAGGGATGTGTTGATGTTGTTGTTTTTAATCTCCAAACCCCAAAACAAACAGCATTTTCCCACCCCCCCAGTTATTTCTCTGATTTCCAGAGTTGTAGTAGAGAGCATGGAGGAGGACACCACCTCATGCGCCACAGAGCACCAGCTTAACCATTAACTGTATTTGCAAACAGATACAAAGAAAAAAGCTGTGAACTGAATAATCATGGCTTTCAGAACTGGACCTTCACTTAATTTATCACTTACCTTTCAGCAGGAACTTGTCAAATTTATAACAGCAAAACGTTAATAACAACTAGAAAAAATTCTAATAGAATGTATTACATAATTAATGTATATTCAATTTAGAAGTCTTCATGGAAGGAAAATTTCTAGAAAAAAATGTGAATTGCTGGAACTGATTTACATGTGTGTATAAACCAAGAGACCAACAGAGAAAATATGTAGAGTTAGGTAAGTATCTTCTCTTGAAAGGCGTAAGAGCCACATCCTATGACAGATAGATTTCTTCAAATATTAAAAAATAACTATTTGGGGGGGCTTATAAGTACATTTTAAAGCTTGGCAGAAGGCTCTACTCCTGATGGTTCTGAGGAAACTGAAACTTTGGGTTTCAGAATAACCTTTTGTTATTTCACCATAGAGAGCTTCCTGGAATATTAGAATGCCACATTGGAAGTAAACTTACCCTGGAGTCCACACCATCCTGAACTTTATAACAACCCCCCATGTGACTGCCTGTGGTCTGACACCACCGATGACAGGGGCCTCACTGTCTCGTAGCACCTGTGCCAGGTTCGGATGACTGACTGCTGAAAGCTTGCTCCTGATAACATGAACCCTCTCCCCTAGTTTTCTGGGACACTTGCCAACCTTTACTGTTTCTAATTCATCTCCCCTGCCTTTGTCTCAAGGACTGGGGGTATCAGATATCACATTTCCTGGGGATGACAAGCACCAAACTATACCATCCCAATATGCTGGAAAGGAATGTCCTTGGAAGTGGGCTCTCACACCTTGCTGGAGTCTTTCTTGATTTTCCCCAGGGCTTTGGTGGCAGTTCTATGGTCCTCCTACTCACTGACCACAAAGGTGAGGCTGGAATTGGACTGACTCAGGGGCAAACTTACAGCAGGCTGGGCCTGGTGTCTCTCTGCTCCAACTCCCTGGGGAGGTCCTCGCTCCCCCAGGTCATCTCCAGGTCCTCTGTGGCCCCCATGGCTCTGTACTGAAGGGTGACATTGCCTTTA